ACCTACGACCTACGACCTACGACCTACTACCTACTAACTACTACCTACTAACTACTAACTACTAACTACTAACTAACTACTTACTACTTACTACTAACTACTAACTACTAACAACTAACTACTAACTACTACCTACTACCTACTACCTACTACTACCTACTTACTTACTACTTACTACTTACTACTACTAAGTACTACTACTAAGAACTACTACTAAGAACTACTACTAAGTACCACTACTAAGTACTACTACTAATTACTACTACTAATTGCTAAAAGTAATTACGACTACTAATTACTACTACTAATTACCTCTACTAGTTACTACTACTAATTACCACTACTTATTACTACTACTAATTCCCACCACTAATTACTACTACTAATTACTACTACAAATTACTACTACTAATTAGGACTACTGATCACTACTACTAATTACTACTACTACTAATTTCTACTACTAATTACAACTACTAATTACTACTACTAATTACTACTTCTAATTACTACTACTAATTACTACCACTACTTACTACTACTAATTACTACTACTAGTTACTACTATTGATTATTACTACTACTAATTACTACGACTAATTACTACTACTAATTACTACTACTAAGTACTACTACTAATTACTACTGCTAATTACTACTATTTATTATTAGTACTAATTACTACTCCTAATTACTACTATTGATTATTACTACTAATTGCTACTGCTACTACTCCTACGTCCTACTCCTGCTGCTGCTGCTGCTCCTGCTAACAAACTTGGAACCTCAAAAAAAAGCAGACGCAAGTGACTTCAAGTCCCCATGCCAACGCTTTTTGTGCAAAGAATCTTCGTTGCCATATTACCATATTGGGATAATCCTCGTCTAGCTAGTGGTCTCAGACCCCATAATTAGATCTAACAAATTTCAATATGTGGAACATGCATGTTGGTTGGTGGGGTTCCTGCAACATCATGCAACCCGTGGGTGAGAGGTCTCAGACCTTTTTTAATTTTCCTTATATATCTCTTTTATCGGTGGGTCTTCCGTCCACGTTTTCAACCAAGGCTTTACAATCCCCGCACGCATGTGGAGTCCTTGCTGGTCTCTCCCATCTCCAAAGCCAGCGCCATGCAGCGAGTGGGAGAGCCCTGCTCGCTTCGTGCTCGCTTCGATGCGTCACTGGCGATCGATGCGTCACCCGGTCGTCTAAAAGGTTGTATGAGCGGCGAACATGTCACTCCCCAATGGATGGTTTCGTGGGAATTGCACCATCCAGCATAAGGGATTGTCTACCAGGTTTGGGCGGCCGTAGCTCATACAATACCGTTTCCTGGTGGCAAGAGGCAGTTGGGGGTCCAAAACAGCCTCTTGGAGGGGTGCTGGTATGGAGCATGAAGACAGACCTCAAACTCAATCAAGAATCCAATTTGGGAAAGCTCAATATTGCACAAACATGTTTCTTGTTTTCAAGAAAGATACCTCCCTCCCAGAAAAAGGGAGGTTATTTCACTTTTGGGGTTTGAAGAAGAAGCGAATGTCAGGACACCTAAAGAGATTCACGCTGTTTTGAGGTCCCAGATCGGAACAGATGTGGCTCCGACTGCAAGTGACCTAGAAGCTGTGGTTCCTTACTGGATCCACCACATCGATGTCACGGAAGATAAAACCAATCCCACAGTTGATTGGACCGAGGAAACCACAGTTTTCACCAACCTTCATACTCAATAAGTGCCATCTCTGTGGTTCAGCGTCGCCCTTGCAGCTGTTGGCCTTAAGAAAGATGCGAGGAAGACCGGTGGGGAAGACGAAGCAAGTGCACACTAGCCTCAGTTTCTCAGGCACCAGTCCGGTCAAGCCGCCAAGCCGCCAAGCAGCAACAAATCGATCACACTTACAGTACAGTAGGTTGGACATGTGCCAAACCAACTCCACTGACCTCCTTGCTTCATGACACTCCCGGAACTGGTAGAGGCGGTAGAGGTATGTGAAGTCGACTTGGATTTTGCTCATCAATTCTGACTCAACACATGCAGGCTATTTGGTCCGACGGCAAAGATTGTCAGCTTGTGGCTACATGCTAACATGTCAAGACAAGAGTTTCAAATCCACTGCCTATTTACTGTAGAGCTTTAGACCCCATTCATTCAAACCAACGGTTTCGCTGTCACTTGCCTTCACGGCGTGCGAAAACACGCACTGTCCAGCCATGCATGACGTGCTGATTGTGGGTGGGGGCCTATGTGGCTTAGTGGCCTTCCGACAGCTCAAGCACCTGGATGTGCTCCTGCTGGAAGCGCGGCCCCGATGCTTGGCATTGCTTGGTTTGTCCACTTTGTTTGAAAGGAGAACGTTGGGGAAAGTACGTTGTCCAAATCCAACCGTCATGATTTATCATGGATAAGGAAGATATACCACGATATATACATACGTACACCTTGAATTAATCCACAAACAATGGTTTATCATGGATACATCAGTGTTTATCCATGCTTTAGCGTATGGCTCCATGGAAAGACTACGAATCCCTCTACCAATGTTTGGGGTACTCTTTGAGAAAAAGCCACCAATACCTACAGTACCCGCATTCCTCAAGTACTAGAGTTGGATTTGGATCGCTGGGCATCTCAAAGGTGTCCATTCTTGCTTGTATAGGCGCAAAGAGGACCAGAAAGAGGACGCATGAAAAGGCCTACTGCACCCTTGTTACAAGAGGCTTCCAGTGCCCCTTCCTGCGCCTCCGTTCGAACCGGGTGGCCTACACACGCCCATGGAACCCGGTGACGAAGACACCGGCATCCAATCAAGTTGTTTCGGACATGGGCAGACCATAGCTTATAGACTTGTTTACAGTATGTGATACATGTTTGTGTATTTTGGTCAATCACTGTTTTGGCTTAAATCATCAGTTTTGCAGGGGTTGACCCCGCCAAAAAGGAGCATCTCGAATCACTTGATTTTTGTCATTTGTGTGAGTTGGGCGTGGTGGGCGCAGATGGTACTGGTATGTGCTTGTCAGATATGCACCGCAAGAAACAGGCCTTTTCAAGCGTCCCTGCTCAGGTGGATGGCCAGTGATGTACGTAGTAAATCTTCATTCCCTTGATTCGATTCGCAGAAACAAGTCGTGACTCCCAAGGGCTGGGTGGCCGGATTTGGACTGTGCAAGACGAGGGCGCAGGTCGGACACGTGGATCAAACGCCATGTTCGGACACGGTGAAAGTGAAAGCGGACTTCAACAGGACTTGATCCAACAAGCACTCGTAATATCTCGCTAAATAACTGAAGGTTTTGGCTTTAGAGTTGTTCATCCGTGTTCACAAGTTTTTTCTGTAAACAAAAGATTTGCCAGGCCACTATGATCTGGGCCCCGCATGGTTTTGGCCACCGCACCAGGAGGCGTGGCACCACTGCGTATTTCTAAGGAAACATTGACCATATAAAAGAGAATAAAATTTTCCCGTGGCGTAATATAAAATATATAGCAGTAATAATGTAAATAATATATTTGCATGTGCATCTATTGTATATATACTAGTCACGAGAGCTCCATGACGCCATGAACAAAATGTTTTCCTTGACGGACGGTGTTTTATTCAAAAAGGTTGGGGGAGTCTCCGCATCCCTGTCGACCGGCAGGTGGAGACCAGGTGTCAGAAATTGCATGCTGGTCTGCTAGACAATAGGCATCCATGTCGACATGGTAGACACCTCCAGCTCCACATCTGATGAACAGTGATGAACATCTGATGGGCCGCCACGCTGCTTCGGATGGGACGGTTCCGCTGATAGAAACCCGAAGGCCAGTGGCTAGGAAAACACTCGTTTTACACTCCCTTTTTCTTTTTTGGGGAAAAAGAAACGGGTTTCTACTAACACAGCAGGTGGACCCGTTCGGTGAAGCGATTGGTCCGAACTGAGGGAGTACGGGGCGAACGTGGCCTTGCTACGAAGGGAGCATTCGTTACTAGTATATCGTATACTACTAGGTCATGCCAAATCAAATATCCCTTAAGGCCTTTGGTTTATGAATTCATAAAGGCTTTCCTTTGAGCTGACCAGCTCCATCGATGCCGCACACTCGCATGTGCATGCTTAGCTACACGGATTGCTTTCCTTCCTGCAGGTCTTCCAACTGGCAGAGGAATTGAAGATCCCTTACTTCGAACAATACGAGGAGAGTGGATCTGTGAGACTTGTCGCCTTGAGTGTTCTCAGCTGTGGATGGATCAAACCTGTACGAGAACAGGAGGAAACGATGGTCCGATCTATGTCTTACACCTACACTATGCTTAATAGTTTACCCCCAAATGACCGAAGATGTTGGAACAGCTTGATGTCTCATCCAGGGATGGCTATGATGCCTTAAACAAGGGTTCAATCATATGGTCACCAGTACCTCTTCAGAACCGGACCCATTTCCGACTTCGGTTTGAGCCTGAAATGCCGGGCCACCAAAGATTGTCCATCCATCCACATGGATGCCGGTGGATGCCGTCGAGATCACTCCAAAGCCTCGGTTCGGTGTGAAGACGTTGATCACCCGACGTCACCGTGGACGTCGGGTGGAAAAAGACCGACCGCGATCCTCTGCACTCCTGGACCATCGATGGCCCGTGCAAACATGACGCGCCAGGATGGGGCTGCACTCTACGAGCGTTCGGGAAAAGCAGCCTGTCTTGGAAAAAAGAGAAGGGCCTCATTTGAAAGGGAACATGCACATAAATGCACTAATTGCTTATGTTTATATTAATTATCAGGCATTTACAGTAATTATATTGTATATTCATAAGTATTCATATTGTACATTAATTCATGTTGTATATGAACTCTCACCAGTTACCGTGGCATTTAGTATGATGTTTGGCAGTTCTCCTCTCGCGGAGGACTTCTGGATTTTGCATGAATGGTTTGAATGCGTGCTTTTTCTTCCCATCATAGATACCCTGTTGTGTTGTTTGTTGCCCGAAGGGTTGCTTTATCTCCAGTCTAGTGTAGCATCTGTGTAAACCTGTAAACCCATTGACTGTTGAAGCATAGTTGTTGCATGCAGGAGTTGTGTATTGAACCTTGAACACTGTCAAACCCCCAAAAGGAGGCTCCATCAAAACCTATTGCTGTTCTCTTCAGGTCAACTAGCCTAGCACAGAGTCTTTGTGACTTGCAACTGATAAGGAAAGGAAAGGGTACCATTTGCAGCTGTGTAGGTCGCATTCGCATTCGCGGCTGTTGTCCAAACCAGCCGTCTGACAGCATGACAGGGTTCTCAATTTCTAAAACTGGCTGGATTCAAACTCCCTGTTCTTGTAAGTATAGAGACTGCTGTAGACATTGTAGACATTTATTTTTTCGCGGATGTAGCATTTTGGAGACATCTAGCGCGACTCGGACTTTGCTCTTTGTTCCTCCACAGCTGGAGTGGCAGTGGATGGTGGAGACTATGCCATACTATGCAACATCAATTAAGAGAAGGTGTCGTCGTTTCGGAGCACCCTTTCGCTTTACATAACAGAAGGTGAACCTTTATCCAAATCAGAGGCCGTCATTCCCAAGGCCAATTTTGGATGTTGTGCACAGAAGGACGACATGTTGCATCTGCGCAGGCGCGCCCCATGGCGCGTGTCTGCGTCATCCACCGCTGAGGTGCGGAAGATTGCCAATCCGCAGGCCGACAGTGTCAGCTATCGTCTACACGGAGGCGGGGAGCCGCCTCGCGTCGCCGCATCAATGAGGCCACAGAGGTTCAACATGAGCTCTGCCGGCCGCCAATTCCCCCGATTCCAGAACTGGCCTTCTTTGGACCAGTTTTTGTATTTGCACGATTGTACACCTGTACATACCATATTGAC